CTTCCTTCCTTCCTTCCTTCCTTCCTTCCTTCCTTCCTTCCTTCCTTCTTCCCTCCCTCCCTTCCTTCCTTCCTTGCCTCCTTCCTTCCTTTGTTTCTTTTTCCTCCTTTCAGTTCTGGGTCTTAAACCTAAGGCTTCCCCCATACTCTACCACTGAGTTTTAGCTCCATCCCATGCGGCTTCTTTTTGGTGTAATGAAACGTCTAGAATTAAGCAATTGTGACGGCGGCATGACTTGTGAGTACCTGCAACATTACTGAATTGGACACTTGAAGTGGATGCATGCTATCCTATCAGAATTATACCCATTTTAAAGAAGGTAGGCTCCATCCAGCAAACAGCCCCGTTAGACAGGGAGGCTCTGACATGCCACCCAGGTGAGCCACCCTGAGCACAAGGGCAGAGGCAGAAGGAATGAGGCACCACTCAGTACTAACCTGCACCCAGGATGGCAGGAGGTCCTGGTGGCCCAGGGGGTCCCGGTGGTCCAGGGACACCAGGTCTCCCAAAGCCAGGTGGCCCAGGCAGGCCTGGAACTCCTGGGGGCCCCTGGGGCCCCACAACAGCCTCTCCTTTCTGGCCCTGTTGAGGCAAACACATAGTCATGGGGAAATCTGTTTTTATGAGGATATTTGTAAGATCCAGTAATTGCAGATGGTGTCGGTCCCAGTGAGCAGCAGCCCAGACATGAAGTCCAAACACACCAGGGAGCCCAGGCAGCCAGAGGGCCCTGGAGACCTAATCTGGCTTTTCTCACTCCACGCATGAAGGAACTGAGCCTTCAGGGTGGAGAGGACTTGCCTCAAACCACAGTGTAAGTTAAGGACGCAGCTGGGGCCGAGGTCAGCCATGTGGTCCCCAAGGTCAGAAACCTGGGGCAAACCTTGCTCTTCTCTCTCAGATGGCTGATGTCTCCCCTAACCTCCCTGCCACCACCCGCCCACCTCATCTACAAAGACCAGGCCTGTGGATAAGCTCTTCCTTCAGTCCTTCTAAAGCTATTGCTGGCGCCTTCTGTTTATCCCCTGAGGTAACCCCTCACTACGGATAGCTCTGTTCAGAGTGAAGTTGCCACAGTTCGCATGGCTATCGCCTGAGGGCTCACCAACTTCGCATAGCCTGGGCAGCTCTAGAGACTGAGTTAATGTCCCACCAACCAGCAGCACAGGAGAGCCTGCTTGTGCCTGAGTATGCACCACACTGACTTCAACTCTAAAATCACCTACTCATATTAGGGGCAGGGTACAGGAAAAGCCACAGGTCCCCAGGGAATCACTACTCACAACCAGGCCTGGATGTCCTGGTTGGCCTGGAGGCCCAGATACAAAGAGGTTGTCGCTGGACTCTCCTCTGAAGGCTGCATCTCCATTCTGCCCCTGGAAGAAAGACCATGGGAGGTTGCAGTCAGAGTAGCCTGAACCTTTTCTCACAGAAACTCAAGAAACCGAGTCACAGGCTGCCACAGTTTCAGTGGGACCCCCAAATTCCATGTGGTAAAAATGTCACCCCCAAACTTGTATATTGCTAGCAATGAGAGGTAAAGTCTTTGGGTTAACAGAGTAACCTGTGATCTAGGAAGCGTCTTTGCTATAAAAACAGACCCTCTGGCATATTGGTTCTGTCTTGCTGTGTGATTCCTGCGTGGTCTTGGGTCTTTGCAGAATCCCAACCAGTAAGTAGGCCTAGATCTCCAGAACTGTGTGCTAGAGAAACCTTTATTCTTTCCCAGTAACCCAGTCTGCAGTATTCAGTTACAGCAACAACAAACAGACTAGGATAATGGACCACACATATAATAATCAATATTCACCTTCAAGCTGTTGAGAAAATGTCTCAGGTAAGCTGGATCAACTGGAGGACCTGAAGAAGAAATGCTTTGTAAGTTCGCCATTGTAATGGCAGAGATATCAAAGAGTTTCCAAGTTAGTAACAGTGGTTATCTCTTTGTAAAAGCGACACTACGCTGGTTTATTGGAGTTGACACTAGACTTGGAAGCATATCCAGTCCTAAGCCAGGTCCCACTACCCAGGGACTTCAGGGTCCTGGGTGAGTCCCTGATTCTCTTGGTGCCATATTGTACCTATGAACAACAACAGAAAGCCAGTCCCCTCCTTCCCACCCCCACCCTGCCCGTAGTTCTGGGGCTGGAAGCCAGGGTCCTGAGCACAGAAGCATACTAGGCAGGACTCTACCTTCAGCCCTAGGCCCTGGTCTCCCTTGACAATGCTCTGCTTTTGACACGTCAGGTCCCAGACCGGTTCTCACTAGAACCCGCAGCACTGGTGGGCTGGGTGGCCAGCTTGTGTCGCTAGCCTGATTTAGCAAGGCCTAGAAGAGGAGCAGGCATACCTGGTGGTCCTTGGGCTCCTTGGTCCCCCTTTTCTCCTTTCGAGCCGGGAAGGCCCCAGGACCCCTTCTCTCCCTTCACACCTGTCACCAAACACACACACACACTTAAGAACGAGGAAAAACAGGCTGTGGGAAGCCAAGTTTCCGAACCAACCCCTTTAGCAAAGTCCATCCGAGCAGAAGGCCCCAGGGAAGCCAGCGGGCAGGAAAGAGCCTGAGAGGGCCACGATCCCTGCATCAGACAGGTTTCCAGATCTTGACCCAGGTCACAGTCATGCAATATGTTGTCACAGAGATGAGGGATACAGAGTTGAGTTCAGCAGGGGCTGTCGTGACTCAGCAGGGGCTGTTGTGACTCAGCAGGGGTTGTCGACTTCACACTCCTTTGGGGCAGTTTGTGAATACAGACTGAGGCCCCATCCCTCTCAGCTCCGCAGTCTCAGCTCCCCTGGGCCTGTGCAGCCTGGTGTCTTGAGGAGCGGATAAATCTCCCCCGGGGGTGATGACACAGTTGAGCTAAGGGGGCTGAGTCATTCACTTACACAGCTGGCTGAGGGGATGAACACCCCCTGTGGGTCACATGTCCCCCTAAGTGACAGGGAGCAATGAGTCTGAGGGGCTGGCCTTCCAAACCCGCCATTTCCTCTACTCCGGATAGGGGAGAGGCTTAGAGGAAAGGGAGGCTTAGAGGAAAACAGAGTTTGGGGAGGGAAGGCATCTATTTCCTCCCCCTTGATAGGACCTAAAGGTGGATGTGAGACCTCCCAATTCATGACCCTAAAAAGTGCAACAGATAAATCTTTCAGTGTTCCCTAGTCTACAGGTGGTGTCGTAAGGTTTGTGGGCCCAGGCTTCCTCCATGGAGAACGGAACGGCCAACAGCACCAAAGATGAGATGAGTGAGCAGCAGGGAAGGACAGCCACATGGCCCCAGGTCCCACTGACGTCTGGGAGCTGCTTAGACTAAGGGCCTAAGCAGAGGATTGTGGGTTCCCACCTAAGCCACAGTGAAGGAGAAGCTAGTGAAGAGGCAGCCATGAGAGGCAATAGTAATACCCAGAAGTACAGAATACCACCTCTCACCAGGGCCAGCACATCCAGGGAGTTCTGTTCTTGCCCTCCCCCCTCCTGCCCCAGGGTAGCCTCACAGGACAGGGAACCCCTGAGGATCTGAGAAGGCAAACCCAGCTCCCCTTCCCACCCAAGGCCTACCGCCACCACCACCACCACCACCAAATAATAATCCTAAATCAAGCCAAAGGCACAATGGGGCTCACGCCTTTAATCCCAGCTGTCAAGGGGCAGAGGCAGGTGGATCTCTGAGTTCAAGGCCAGCTTGACCTACAGAGTGAGTTTCAGGCCAGTTAGAGCTGCATAGAGAGGTCTTGTCTTAAATGACAACAAAACCCCATAAAAAACAAGGTTCACCCGACATGAAGGGGAAGTGACGTTGGAACAGGTCTGAGCACCAAGTCAGAACACAGCCTGGACTTGGCAACCAAAGCGACAGAAAAACACAGAAAACCTCATTAGGGAGACCCCTACCTGGCAGACCAGGGTGACACAGCCCAGCTGCAGGGGACTGCAGATTAAGGAAGGCTTTCCCTTATTTGAGCTGTGAGTATTTCGATGCTTCCACTAAAAACCAGACATTGTGTGACAAGGAGTGTCGGTGGAGGAGGTTAGTGACTGACCGCTCTCTTACAGGCTTGTCCCTCTCTAGTGTGCTCTTGAGAGACCGAGCACGCTAACACTGACTAACCCCCACCCCCGTCCCACTCCACCCACCCACACATATATACACACTGAGCAAAGTTTCTCACAAGCTCTGCCGGGAGATGAGGAGATCGAAGGTCCCAATGGACCGATGAGGACAGATGCTGACCTTGAACTTGTGATCCTCCTGCCTCAACCTCTTGAGTACTGGGATTGTAGGTATGTATCACCATGCCTTGCCTTACTGGCTCCTCACAGCACTGGGGAATCAAACCTAAGGACTCACCCATGCTAGGTGAGTGCTCTTTACCAACTGAGTCATTCTTTCTGTCCTATACTTAGTTTTAAGGGTTCCTGGCACCTGAAACATTAAAGGGCTGAGGAGGCAAAAGCATGGGGCAGCACTAAGCAGGCATCCATGTCTGTCTTCTGAACAGATTAGCAAAGGGATGAACAAAGGGAGAGCTTCCTGTTACCCAGCAGGTTTAGCCAGGACGCACAGGTACGTGAGAAAACCAGACAGATGTGTCCCACAGTTCAGCTGCCGCTTCTTCTCCCCCATGCCCAGTCCGCCCTTCCCAACCACCTCATCTGTGGCCATCACTAGACACATGCAAACAGCCATAAGCACTAGGTCAGGAATGTCCCAGAGAAGAACAGTGAAGAAGCGTGTGTACCGTGGAAAGTGACAAGCTCTGGGTCGCCAGGGTGAGCAGTACCAACCTGGGGAGAGAGAAAGGCCCGGTCAGACATGGGAAGCCCTGCCCCAGCTTTTGTCTGGGCAGTCACAGTCTTGGGGACATATTGCAGAGGAGGAGATGATGCAGGCCAGGCTTGGACTTGGCTCTGGAGCTCCAGATCCTCCAGCACCCGCAACACACCATCCCAGGCCTTCAGTGGGGAAACCCATGATGGAGCTGGCCTCAAGAACACCGCATCCAGACTTCGGGCCAAAAATCTCAGCAGAAGGGAAACCCGGGGCCTTCAGATAGTGTTTGTGAGAGTGCTGGCCAACGCTGAACATCTTGGCCTCCTTCCTTATCAATTAGAATTGGCTCGCGAGGGAGGCCAAGCGTCCGAGCCAGCGCTGAGCCAGCTCTGAAGCTGGGCCAACCGCCTGCTACTGAGTGCAATCAAAGACAGCCATAAGGCACAGGTCCTGGCAGGGGCTGCAGTGGTAAGTAACAAGGCTGTCTGTCATTAGATTGGAGGGGCTACTATGGACTCCTCATTAGCTGACGGGGCCTGGAATCCAAGCAGTTCTGGATAATACACTTCTCAGTCTTTCCCTTATCCCTGCCCCTTTCCCCTTCCCCTCCTCTTCCTCTCTCTCTCTGTGCTGTGTAGGTCAATCTTAGGGGTGATTCCTCAGGAGCTTTTTTGAGGCATTGGCCTGGAATTGGTCAGTGAGCCCCAAGCATACCACTGTCTCCCCCACACACACACCTCTGTGGCACTGGGATTACAAATGTGCAACCCCATGGCTCCCCACCCCCACCGTCAGGTTCTGAGAATCAAACACGATTTTTCCTGTTTATGCAGAAAGCACCTCACCGGCTAAGCCATCTCCCCAAAACCCCGTCTATCCAGGCCGCGCCACCTGAAAAACTGTTGCTCAGTACTCCTCGTCCTCGCCTCATTTCTTGTTACTGTGATTGGAGACCCTAGCAAAAGCAACTTACAGGAGACAGGATTCATTCGGCTTACAACTCCGGGTCACTGGAGTTACTTTGCTAGGAAGTCAAGGCAGCGTTGTAAGAAAGCAGCCAGCCACATTCAATCCGCGGTCAAGAGCGGAGAGCAAGGAGTGACTCTGCGTGGGAGTGCTCCGCTCACTCTCTCCACTCTTACACAGTTTGGAATCTCTTGCCTGGGGTGTGGTGCCACCCACAGTGGGCAGGTAATGTAGATAATCCCCCCGCAGGCAGGTCAACCTGATCTACACAATCCCTCATCAAGACATCTCCCCGGGCGACTCCTGATGGTGCTGGGTCGACTATTGAAGGCAACCGTCACACTCCACCTCCATCGCTTCCCCAGCTGAGTGACTGTGCTCCACCTGGGTCCAGGACCTTTCTGTGGTTATGAACGGGGGCTGCCAGTTGCTTAGGGGTCACCATGAAAAGATGATGGGAGGAGGAAGGAATCTTCCAGAAAAAAATTAAGGAGGAACATTGCAGAGATTCTGTTTAAGTGGTATGGTAGGGGTGTAAACTGTGAGCTATGAACTGTCATAATACTATACGGCTGGAATTGGAAGGTGCGTGTGAAGTGCTGGATGTGTTTCTGATTGATAATGTCCACTTTGAGGGCTGGGTAAAAAACAACCACGCCTCCATGGTATCCCCATATGCCACAAGAAATTAAAACAAAACAAAACTCACTCCAAATATTCCGAGCCTAGCATTAACTTCTTTTTAAGTAACTCCAGGACACCACCCACCAAGTGTGGATATCGCCCAGGTTCCCAGTGTAGGTCACACAACTGCAGTGGCATCCCCAAAACACTCTAAAGTTTGTGGTGGGCTGTCCCACGCTTGGTGCGTTGGGACTGCTTGTGGGAGGTGGCCATGTGGCTGGGCTCTGTGTTGGAAGGAGGGACCTTCAACACTCACAGACAGTGAGTGGGACCTAGGCAGCCTACTGCCCTGCACCAGGTGAGTGCACCGCTTTCTTGGAGTGTCTCCAGAACCTGCACTTGAACCAGATGCCGCTCTGCAGTCATCTGTACAAACGTGCCCTTGGCGGTGCAGTGGGATCTACATGGAATGTCAGCATGGTTCCCAGGTGGATCCGGTGCTCTGCCTTCCAGGCTAGAACGCTTGGACCATGTGCTGCCTACTGGGATGCCTCAAAGTCAGACTTGGACATCTGCCTAGGGCAACACACAGCCAGCCAGTCTGTGCCAGTCAGAAGCGTCGGAGACCAGCTCCGTCACCACTCCCACAGGAATCAGCTCAAACCCACTTCGAAGAATATTTTGAAATGATTCTTTGCAAACTCCAGAAAGCAGAGACCACGTCTGTCTAGGTCATCCCTGTGTCCCCAGGGACTAGCCGAGTCCTTGGCACTGGTGAGAGCTCAGTAAATATTTACTGAATGAATGAGACAATGATTACTCACAGATGCGTGAGTCATGCCTGTCCCCGTCTCTCCTCACAGAAATAAATGTCTCTATGATACTGGAGAAATCCTAGAGACAGTGTTGCCGACTGCCTGTGTGGGGTGGGGGGAGGGGAGGCTGAGCAAAAGATCACAGAGCCTGCACCTGCTTCCCGAGGACCAGGAGATCTGAGCTGTGGTCCTAGCTGCCCCATGCCCCATGCCCTTGGGCTAGCCTGAGAGCTTCTGTGAGCAGAGTTGCCTTCCCATGATGAAGGGGAGAGAGAACCTCTGCCTCTTGGGGAGGTATGGTAAGAGTGACACAATCCTCGGGAAGGATGGAACAGAGTAGCTACGCATTTCAGCCCCAAATTCCCAGCACAGAGGCCATGAGTTGATGTCACTTCCTTCTGTTATAAGGGATCTATTTTGCAATTTTATACTCCTCCTGCCCATGAGGCCAATGAGGTCTCACTAACAGAACACGAGCTGTACTGGTCCTATTAAAAGAAGCCAGTGTGCAGACATTTCATTACCAGGGTCTGTCATAGAATCCTCTAGACTTTTAAGGGTCCATGTGTGGCTAGAAGATACCAGAGTTGGACATCCAGGGATGGAAGGCACCCAAGGCAAGACTGATCTGTTTCTTTGAGTTGGCACCCATGCTTAGCCTGCTGCTGAAGACACAGCTGCACGTTACTTACTGGCGTTTTGCAGTGTGGCCGGGCAGGTATTGGGAAAACAGCCTGAAGGAAGGAGAACACGAGAAGTGAGGCCACCCGGAAACCCAGCTCCAGCAGAGGCGAACCTGGTCCCCAGGAAAGTCTCCCCCCTTTGCCTCCTCCCCATTCTAACTTACACCTTTGATGTTCACCATAGCTCCAGGGGGTCCTGGGGGTCCTGGGGGTCCAGGTAGGCCAGGTGGACCCTGAAGGAAGAAGATAAAAGTTCCTACTGAGTTTGGGGATCTGGGAGTGAGAGGCAGCTGCAGGATATGCCACACATTGAGCTGGAAGCTGGGGAAATTGCCTCTGGAAGCAACCAACATCTGCCTCTGGTCCACTAGTCCCATCCACAGAGCACTTATACATCTGGCCATACAGCAAAAATGTTGTTAACCGTGGGGGAAGATAGCAGAGCAACAATGTCATCCCGATTGACACCCACAGATAATGAGGCCCAGAGAGGGCACACAACCTGCTCAAAGCTTACAGAAAGCTGACACTGGAACCCAGATTTTGGGTCCCAGAGCAATGCTCCATTAACATCAGAATTCATGGGGCTGTGTGCAGGAGGAAAGAGGGGACACCAGGGTCCTAGGATACTCTAATCCCTTTCTCCTCCCTTCCCCTCTCCATCTGATGTCTGCATGGGGGAGACTGAAACTCTTCAGCATGGGTGTGATCTGGGTGACACTCCTGAGCATGAGATGGGTGCAGGGCTAAGTGTGAGGATCTTTGGAAGTAATGATGGAGAAAGACAACAACACTCCTGAACATGTATTCTGCAAACCCCACTCACTGAACTCCATGGGTACTGGACCCTCTCTAAGAGGATCTGATCAGTACTTCAGCTCCAGGACACATGACGTGGGGGAAGTGGCCACAGGACTCACCGGCATCATGATCCCTCGATCTCCTTTGGCACCCTTGAGACCATTCAATCCTGGGCGACCCTGAGATGCACACAAGACACCTTAGTGAGCTCTTGCTGTGGGCAACCTGGCCACCACATGCCCCATCCTTTAGTCTGGGGACCACTGATACCTACAGGTCGTCCTGGGAGGCCAAATTCTCCTTTGTGTCCTGGTGGTCCTTTGGGTCCCTAGAGGCAAAACAAACGCCAGTAGCAAATGACAGAAACTCAGGCTCCAGAGATCTGGAATGCCGGGCTTGCTCTTGTAATCCGTGAAGCAGGGATGGGAGGAAGGAACAGGAGCAACAATCCTGAAGCACCCATCCGTCTGTCTCCTGCCTCTCCCCAGCTACAAGTGTTTGCTCAGGCCTTCAGCTCTCCCCGTTCTTCTGAAGGCTACATACGCAGGACCCAATCCCTCAGGCAGGGTGAACGACACAGCAAGAAACCAGCAGCTCAGTGCCTCAGGTCCCAGGTGGCCACATGCTAGGCTGGTTCAGAACATAGAACTTTGCCATTGGTCACACATTCCTGGGTTCCCACGTCCTCTGTTCTGACTACTGTAGCCTATACCAGTTTGTCCAGGAAACGACTTCAGGATGCGTTTCCTGACCTGCTCCTACTCATTTTGAGGCCTAGCCTCAGCATGGTGCTCCCCCAGTCCTCCTACAGAGTCCCTGACCCACGCTATAGGATCCTATTTTAGCAATGGTTTTCTGGGTCCACATACTTCTTAAGTCACTGCCCTGATCCAAGCTCCCTGCAGAAATCACTTTGCCTACTGGAGCCTGAAGAATGGTAGCTGTGATTATGTCGGGGGGCCTCAAGGCCCTCTGCCCACCACCATTAACATGGGCAGCATGCTCTAAAAGATGAGAAGGAAGTTCTGCATTAAGATGGGGTCCGCATGAACAATCTCGAGTCTGTGTTACTCTTAGGGAAGGGACAAGCAAACATTGAGGACGTTTCCAGGGTATGGGCCACTTGGTGGGTGGTTCTTTGGAACACTTCCCAAGTGCGCATGTACGCGGGGTGTCCTGGGTCTCATTAAAGTGCCGATCAATGGGGTCTGAGCTGCTGTCTGGGCTGGGGCCTGCAGCTCTGCATTTTCACAAAGCTCCCAGGTGATGTCAGGAATGCTGATCCACGAACCGCACTTTGAGTCGCAAGCCTTAGCATATTGGTAAAAGAGTTGTAAGCCCCTCTGGTCTCTAGGGCCACAGTTAGCCCAGATGGAAGCATTATGCAAATTAAAAGGTGCCCTTACTGCCTGTGTTTGGCAAGCTGTGCACAAGCTGGCCTTCAGTGGGATGCCCGCCACAGCCATCTGCAGCCGCCTGCTGGCCCACTACTAACTGTTTGCATTTCCCAGAGAACTGGAGGTTACTGAGTGGTTAACCAGTTGGGAACAAGACTCTCCCATCTGCCTTCACTCTCAGCCCTGGGTCTCTACATTCAGTCTTTGCTGCCTGACTTCAGGGACCCAAAGCCTCCGAAGGTTTTCTGAAGGATGTGCTTGGAGCACATAGGGGTTCACGTGAGCGTGACTCTTTCTCCCACAGTCTAAGATCTGGCCTCAGTCAAACAGACCCCCTGTGCAATTTGACAGTCCTGGGACAGTCCATGGTGCTCCAATAAATGAACACACAAACACATACATAATAAATAAAGGGCAGCTTATCTTCTGAAAGTTGTGGGGTGGGGAGAGTATGGATACAGGGCATGCCAGGTTGGCCTCAAGACTCTCACCTGCCTCTTTCTTACACATTGCTCATCTTCTTTGAGACCTTGTTTCCTTGCCTATAGACTGGGGTTGGAGGGTTATGTGATCACACCTGAGGCTGAAATGAGATGTCCCCCAGGAAGCTTAGACAGTGCCTGACCCACAGCGATGGTCCACACCTGCACTTTCGTCATTTCAGTTGGGATGCATGACCAGGAAGTTCAGGGTTCATTCTTGGGAGAAATAACTCAGAAGTGCTCATAAGTCCAAGTGTGCTACCTGTTTCTAGAACAGCAAAGCCAAGGAGCCTCTAACCCTGTCTAGCCTGAGTCCAACCATTCAGCATTAATGGGCAGACTGAAGCCTAGAAAAGGGGAAAGAGAGGAGGGCATGTCCCAGCCCCACAGCAACAGAGCAGCAGACCCAGCACCACGTGAAGGTCCTTGTGGGACTCCCTGGCACCTGACAATCATCACCAGTTCTCTTCTGCTCCCTGGACACACAGCTACCCATCTGAGTCCCCCCCAAGAATTTGAGTTCTGACCAGCAGAACATGCTAGAAGTGATGATCGTTATCCTTTACGGTCTCTTCCACTCTCTCCAGTCTCAGTCTGCCAATTGGACAGTTCATGTGACCTTGAATCCAGAAGATACTGGAGTCACTTCTTGGAGGGGAGAGGTCCAGCAGGAACTGGCCACAGTGGATTGTGTCAGAATGAAAAACGGGATGCTCCTGTGTCCGACCACTGAAGGTTTGATTGTTTGTTGTTATTTAGATTTATTTGCTATTATATGTAAGGGTGTTTTGCCTACATGTATGAATGTGTACCACATGCATGCCTGGTGCCCACAGAAGCTAAAAGAGGGGGCCAGGTCCCCTGGAATTGGAGTTGTGAGTGGTTGATCCACTGTGTGGGCAGTGGGAACTGAACCTGAGTCCTCTGCAAGAGCAGCAGGTGCTCTTAACGACTGAGCCATCTCTCCATCCCTGTTTTGTTTGTTTTTGAGAGTCTCTTGTAGGCCTGGCAACCACTGAGATTTCTATGTCACTGTAGTTCGCCTCCCACAAACACAGACACATGTTTTACCACCTGTCACTGTATTACTCGTTATATTTTCACAAGTAGAACAATTCAATCTGACTGAGCCAAAGCATGAGAAAAGCTAGAAAGCCTAGTTCCAACCCAGCGGAGAGACACCCAGCTTACCATGGGTCCTGGGGCTCCATGCATTCCAGGTTCACCCTAAAACAGGAGACAGGCACTTGTCACTTGGAAGACACTGTTTATGATACAACCAAAGATGGCAAGCCAAAGCGGATATATGCCCTCGGGGTGTGGTGACAGAATTACCTTTCTCCCCTTCACCATTTCCAGAGGAATGTCCCCTGTCAGGATAGCACCCGGCTCGCCCTTCTCGCCCTGCAATGCAGAGAATCTTTTAAAGCCCAGCCTCCTCCTGCCACCTTGTTCAAGGGGTCATTAAGACCTCTCCATTCTGCCAGCATGACTTCTCACCTTCAGACCACCCCTCCAGCCCCACCCCTCACTCCAGCCCCACCCCTCACTCCAGCCCCACCCCTC